TACCATATGATTAAAGGACAAATTTCTGAAAATCTGTAGAACAACTTTTCCACAGGGAAAAAAAAAAAAAAATACAAAAAAAAAAAAAAAAAAACATACCGCTTCATACATTTAAACCTGGGATCCTTAAATTCAAGGAAACAAAATCACGGCTTACCAAGCTTGCTTTTGGTCTCAAGCACACGGGCAGTTTGACCCATAAAGCATAATATCTAGGCACTTGGGGGCAAAGGTATAGCGTACAACCCGCTGCCAGTGGCCTGTAAAAATCTATTACCTGCTGAAATATGCTGCATCTGTACGGTGTCTCAAGCAGTACTTGTGTATAGAGACAAATACCCCAAACACAGAAAGTTCATGTTCAGGGCCATACGTCCCTGCAAACAAATAGAAATGCATGATGTAAAAGATGCCTGTACTAAGATCTGCCTCATTCACCAGCCTGAGTTCATATGTAACTGGTTATGCAGGAAGCATAAAGAAAATTATAGAGCACAGACTTCAGTAGAACGGAAGGTGTGTGTTTTCTGAAGTTGGAAATGGTTTGTGTGCTGTAGACGCAATGAATTTTTGAGACCTCAATATATAGTAAACCTGTACTTTTCCCCTGGAAAGCAAAGTAACAGGTTCCTTTAATACACCCCTCTACTGCTGCACACACACACAGAGCACTATTAGGGAAGATTGGTGTGTTTTAGAATTGCAATGGTGTGCACAAAATGCACAATACACATTTTTATGGGAGGCTTTAAGCAGATATGTCCACGCAGCATCAAGTGATGTCACATATATTATGGTTTTCTATAAGCGAATACAAAAGAGCCTGAAGGTCAAATGCTGACAACATGCATGACAAAATGACCACAAAACATGCAAACACAACGTTTAATGTGAATAAAACCTTATTCTGCTATCGTGACGAGAAAAGGATGCCCTGTTTGACTATGCAAGCGCAAGTTTCTCTGTCACATGGGAGGAAAATTGACAAGCTACATGCTTCTACACATCTAAAATAGAGTGGCGGAAAACATTATTTGATGCCCTGCAGATTTTGCCCACTTACAAGACGAAGGGTCTATAATTTTTATCATAGGTGTATTTTAAATGATAGAGACAGAATATCAACCAAAAATCCAGAAAAAAAAAAAAAAAACACATGATGCAAAGGTAATAAACTGAGTTACAGTTCAGTGAGTAAAATAAGTATTTGATCCCCCACCAACCAACAATAATTCTGGCTCCCACAGACTGGCTATGTGCTCATGTGGTACACAGATTAGTCCTGTCAAAATAGGAAGGTGCTCCATCGACAACTCTTTGTGTATAAAAAAGACACCTGTCCAACAAATCTTTTTCTTCCATTCAAACCTCACCATCATGGACAAGACTAAAGAGCTGTCAAAGGACGTCAGGGACAAGATTGTAGACCTGTACAAGGCTGGAATGGGCTACAAGACCATCAGCAAGAAGCTTGGTGAGAAGAAGACAACTGTTGGAATGATAATTCGCAAACAGAAGAAATACAAAATAGCCATCAATTGCCCTCAGTCTGAAGCTCTATGCAAGATTTTGCCTCATGGAGTAAGAACGATCATGAGTAAAGTGAGGGATCAGCACAGAACTACACAGGAGGAGCTTGCTTCTGAATGACCTCAAAGTAGTTGGGACCACAGTCAAACTATTGATAACACAATGTGTTGCCATGGATTGAAATCCTGCACTGCCTGCAAGGTCCCCCTCCTCAAGAAGGCACATGTATAGGTCCTTCTGAAGTTTGCCAACGAACATCTAAATGATTCAGAGAAGGACTGGAGAAAGTGTTGTGGTCAGAGGAGACCAAAATTGAGCTATTTGGCATTAAATGGACTTGCTGTGTTTGGAGGAATAAAAAAGCTGACCATGACCCTAAGAACACCATCCCTAAAGTCAAGCACGGAGGTGGAAATATTATGCTTTTGGGAGGGTTTCTCTGCTAGAGGTACAGGCTGACTTTAGTGCATTGAGGGGCCAATGGATGGAGCCATGTATTGTAAAATCTAGGATGAGAACCATCTTCCCTTAGCCAGAACACTGAAGATGGGTCATGGATGGGTCTTCAGCATGACAATGACCCAAAACATACCATCAAGGCAACAAAGGAGTAGGAGTAGATCAAGAAGAAGCACTTTAGGTCATTGAGTGGCCTAGCCAGTCTCCAGACCTTAATCTTATAGAAAGATATGGAGTGAGCTGAAACTTCAAGTTGCCAAGTGACATCCAAGAAACCTTAAGGATTTAGAGAAGATCTGTAAAGAGTGGACCAAAATCCCTCTGAGATGTGTGCAAACCTGGTAAGAAACTACAAGAAATGTTTTACCAAGGGTTTCTCCACCAAGTACCAAATCATGTTTTGCTTGGGGATCAAAAAACTTATTTTACTCACTGAACTGCAACTCAATGTATAACATTTGTATCATGTGTTTTTTCTGGATTTTTGGTTGATATTCTGTCTCTTAAAAATACAACTATAATAAAAATCATGGACTCTTCATTTCTTTAAGTGGACAAACTTATAAAATCTGCAGGGGATTGAATAATTTTCCCCATCGCAGGAGATTTTTTTTTCCTCAGTAGAAACTGCTTCTCCAAGCAGAGCTTGTAATTGCAAGAATTCTGACTGTATAGTTCTGGCCTTTACAAATTAAAAGTGTGCTGCTGTACAGAATTGCAAACCTGTCTGTTTAAAACAAAAAACTTGAAAAAAAAAAAGAAAAACAAAAAAAAGGAAGCAATGGTCTGGATCTCAAGAGTTGTTTACAATTACTGGGCCAGTTGTGATGTGCAAGAGAGCACATATGTACACCTGTGGGAGTCAGATAAGCTTGCCATCACAGAAGATTTTCCAACAGTCCAAATCTCCCATCTGAAAAGTGTTAGCTTTGCAAATAAAGCCCTATAGTCACGTGACAAGCAGGCTCCTCTTCAAGCAGTATTAAAAACCAAAAGCAAACATTATATTGCAGCTTACAAATTCTAAATGTGATGGCTGCATTAGTTTTCTTTTTAGGCTCTTTCTTCTATTTTCATCTGGAAGTTCAGCCAGCAGGTTTGTTGTTTTTCACAGCACAAACTTTCCAGCAGAAAGTGTTAGTTTGCATGGATGAGACAAACCATTTAACACTGGCAGGAGTGCTTTCAATGATCAGCTTTTATTTGTGTTAAAACTTTTATCCCAAAAGGAAAAAACTGATCAGAATATGCTAGCCAGAGTTTGGATTACATTTGTTAGTTTATCTAAGTCTGCTAATACAATTAACACACCCCCTCCAGATGGACAATGCTGCTATCTGCTGTGCATCCTGTGTTCATTCCTTCAGAGTTGTGTCTCACTAATACCAGTGGTGTGTTACTGGCCAGATGCCCAGGTGAAAACAGAGGGAAAAAAAAGCCAAAGAAAAGAAACCATATGCAGACAGTACATCTACATAATTGGTAAGCTGCAATATAATACATTTTTATTGTATTTAAAGAGTAACTCCACTGTTGAGAAAGTAAAAAACATTCCCCTCTGGGTGATCGATGTACATTGCAAGAATTTTAACAAACTGTTGCAGATTCCATCATTTTGTTATTCTGAAGAAAGTTTGTGTCTTTGTACAAAGTGAATCTGTATGGGAGTGGTTTTATAATTGTCAGATTCTGCACCTGCAGGGCCCGAATGAGAAAATTGGCAAGGTCCGCATTCCTTTAATTTCCCTTTGGGAGTATGTCATCAAAAATGAAATTTTTGCTGCAGTGGATGCCAAAAAGCTGACTTGTATCTTAGCAACGACTTTTGAGAAAATCAGTAAGCACTCACACAAGCAAAAAAATTAAAATTTTCAGGGGCTATTCTGTACACCACCTGTGTACAGAACACCTCCAAGTAGCCATATTGCATTTTACAGAATCAGCTGTGCAAATTGAAAAGGAAAGGTCACTTTTAATAACATCCAATTACAATATTACTTTAGTCGCAATTGTAAATGCTATATATTTATTTGCCAATATTTTTTCCCATGAAAGTGGAGTTACCGTTTAATACCGCTTTCATCTCCTCTTCACCATTGGGAGGACCTCACTGATGTGAACCCATCAGGGCTGCTGTCTGCTTTATTGCACTGCAGTGATGCCACGCTAGGGGCCTGGCCTTTGAAGCCATGTTCTCAGAGAAGTGAGTGGAACTTTAGGCAAGCAGAATTAACCACAATCAGATGTATGGCATATGGAGATCGGCCAGTCAATAAAGTGAAAGAACTACCAACTAGGCAGAAGAGTGTAACGATTTATACCTACATTTCTAAAGCATTGATTAGCAATTACATAGCTCTATAGTGAAAATTATTGTGCACCAATATTGCAAACCTTTGCTAATATAAACTAAGCACATTGGAAAGAATAATTCATATGAAGAGGCAACCTGTACTGAAATCCACATCGAAAATACTAGATCAAAGATACAGGTAGCTAACTTGTATGCAAATCTTGATTTATTTTTTTCCAGTCATCCAGAGAAAGGCAACACACAGGCAATATTTAGGCAATTTACAAAGGATTCAATGGACCTACCAGCATGTCTTTGGAGTGCACATGCTCAGTTTTGTGTGTATTGCTGGAGAGTTAAGTTTTTTTTCTCTGGAGAGGGTACATTATTATTATATACAGTATTTATAAAGCACCAATGGTTCGCTCAGCGTTGTACATTACAAAGGGGGACAGAACATGTGACAGAACAATACCAATATAATGCAAAACATGAGGGGATCGAGGGCCCTGCTCTTTCGAGCTTACAATCTAGGAGGGAGGGGATAGTGGTACAGGAGGAGATAGCTGTGGGGGATGGAGTGGTAGGAAGAGTGGAGGAGGTCGGCAGGTTAGCAGGGGGTGGGGTAGGCTTCTCTGAAGAGATGGGTTTTCAGGGTGCGTCTAAAGGAGAGGAGTGTGTGATCAGCATAGGGCCCATCAGCACTGTCCAGACAGAGGTCAGGGGTTCTGCATCCTCCTAGAGAAAATGAAAACTCCTCCTACAAGCTTTAACCAGCGCTCTGCTGGACATTGATAGAAGTCACAAAACTGCTTTAACTGCTGATGAGAAAAGGAATTTAGCAGTTTATATTTCCTAAAATAATTGCACTTCCATGTTCTGTGTACTGTGGGAGACCAGATATAGTGAATGCAGAGTCCTGGGTTTTGTAACACTTTAAAGCAAATAGGAGGAATTGGGGGAAAATCTGCTATATTCTACCATAGAGCAAAGGAGAAGAATGTTTATGCAGCGAGGGGTTAATAGTGACCCTGGTGCTGAGCTGCATCTCCTCACCGTATGGCCAACAAGGAATGATTGCAGTGTGGTGTACAGAGGGGGGTGAGGGGTGTCATTGATACCCTGGGAGAGGCCGGTGTCCTGACACCCAGTAACAGAGGAGGGAGATGCGGCAGTGGCCGGGCTCCGGGGTGATGTGTGGAGGGCGGGATGTCTGTGGCGGGGGTGGGTGTGGCCCTATACACATTCAATGACTAGGCCTGGTCATGGCGCTGCTCCGTCCGGCCTCGTGGTCACCACAGTGCGGGGGGCGCCCATTGTACCCTTATTGCGGCCCGAACTTCCTCCACACAGCCCAGTCAAAGCAGAGGAGAGCAGGCCTCGCCATCACCCGGCGGCTGCCATATTGGAGAGAAGCGGAGAACATACCAGTCCCACCATGGCGTATGGGACACGCAGGACGGGGAGCCCATTGCTCAGCCCATTGCCCCCCATTCATATGTTTACCTTGACGATCCTGCGGGGAAGCCCGGCCATCTTATCTTATAGCGAATGCAGCCTCAACTCTCTCTGCGTGCCGCCGGATCCTCCTGTCACGCACAAGTGAGAGCCCGACGTTCGCTTCCGAAGACGTCATGACGGCGGCGTGGGGGGGTTGCCGGGAAAAGTAGTTTTGCCCATCAGCTTCTGCAATGCATGCTGATAATGTAACCAGGCCTGGAAAGCGCAGGCTCATTCCTAGCATACGAAACTTGAGGGGAGGGAGCCTTTCTCCTTCACCTCTATAACTGCTTGAAAACCAGGCCAATTCTGGCTCTGAACTCAGACATGGAAAATACCCAACCTTTGGTAAAGCAGAGCTCCACCCAAAAGGGGAAGTTCCACTTCAACCTCTTCACGCCGGCCGCACGCAAATGTGCGGCCTCTCCCGGCGTCTGGGCCGGGGCACGCAAATGTGCGGCCTCCCGGCGTCTGGGCCGGGGCACGCAAATGTGCGGCCTCCCGGAGTCTGGGCCTGGGCACGCAAATGTGCGGCCTCCCGGCGTCTGGGCACGCAAATGTACGGCGTCTGAGCACGCAAATGTGCGGCCGCCCGGGGTCTGGGCACGCAAATGTGCGACCCCACGGCGTCTGGGCCGGGGCACGCAAATGTGCGGCCTCTTGGCGCCTGGGCACGCAAATGTGCGGCCTCCCGGCGTCTGGGCCTGGGCACGCAAATGTGCACCCTCACGGCGCCTGGGCACGCAAATGTGCAGCCTCCCGGCGTCTGGGCCGGGGCACGCAAATGTGCAGCCTCCCGGCGTCTGGGCCTGGGCACGCAAATGTGCGGCCTCCCGGCGTCTGGGCACGCAAATGTACGGCGTCTGAGCACGCAAATGTGCGGCCCCCGGGGTCTGGGCACGCAAATGTGCGACCCCCGGCGTCTGGGCCGGGGCACGCAAATGTGCGGCCTCTTGGCGCCTGGGCACGCAAATGTGCGGCCTCCCGGCGTCTGGGCCTGGGCACGCAAATGTGCACCCTCACGGCGTTGCGCCTGGGCACGCAAATGTGCAGCCTCCCGGCGTCTGGGCCGGGGCACGCAAATGTGCAGCCTCCCGGCGTCTGGGCCCGGGGCACGCAAATGTGCAGCCTCCCGGCGTCTGGGCCTGGGCATGCAAATGTGCAGCCTTCCGGCGCCTGGGCACACAAATGTGCAGCCTCCCGGTGTCTGGGCCTGGGCACGCAAATGTGCAGCCTCCCGGCGTCTGCACATTTGCGTGCCCAGGCCCAGCTGCCAAAAGGCCACACATTTGCGTGCCTCGGCCCAGACGCCATGAGGCCGCACATTTGCGTGCCCAGGCCCAGACGCCGGGCGGCCGCACATCTGCGTGCCCAGGCCGGGAGGCCGCACATTTGCGTGCCCCGGCCCAGACGCAGGGAGGCCGCACATTTGCGTGCCCAGGCCCAGACGCCGTGAGGCCGCACATTTGCGTGCCCAGGCCCAGACGCCGTGAGGCCACACATTTGCGTGCCCAGGCCCAGACGGCGACGCGGGGGCCGCACATTTGCGTGCCCAGACGGCGGGAGGCCGCACATTTGCGTGCCCAGACGCCGGGAGGCCGCACATTTGCGTGCGGCCGGCGTGAAGAGGTTAAAGTGGAACTTCCCTTTTGGGTGGAGCTCTGCTTTACCAAAGATTGGGTATTTTCCATGTCTGAGTTTAGAGCCAGAACTGGCCTGTTTTTCAAGCAGTTAAGAGGCGTCTGGGCCGGGGCACGCAAATGTGCATCCTCCCGGCGTCTGGGCCGGGGCACGCAAATGTGCAGCCTCCCGGCGTCTGGGCCTGGGCACGCAAATGTGCAGCCTCCCGGCGTCTGGGCCGGGGCACGCAAATGTGCAGCCTCCCGGCGTCTGGGCCAGGGAACGCAAATGTGCAGCCTCCCGGCGTCTGGGCCTGGGCACGCAAATGTGCAGCCTCCCGGCGTCTGGGCCTGGGCACGCAAATGTGCACCCTCACCTCCCGTCTGGGCCTGGGCACGCAAATGTGCAGCCTCCCGGCGTCTGGGCACACGCAAATGTGCACCCTCCCGGCGTCTGGGCGGGGCACGCAAATGTGCAGCCTCCCGGCGTCTGGGCCGGGGCACGCAAATGTGCACCTCCCGGCGTCTGGGCCTGGGCACGCAAATGTGCAGCCTCCCGGCGTCTGGGCCGGGGCACGCAAATGTGCATCCTCCCGGCGTCTGGGCCCGGGCACGCAAATGTGCAGCCTCCCGGCGTCTGGGCCGGGGCACGCAAATGTGCAGCCTCCCGGCGTCTGGGCCGGGGAACGCAAATGTGCAGCCTCCCGGTGTCTGGGCCCGGGGCACGCAAATGTGCAGCCTCCCGGCGTCTGGGCCGGGGCACGCAAATGTGCAGCCTCACCTGGCGTCTGGCCCGGGGCACGCAAATGTGCAGCCTCCCGGCGTCTGGGCCGGGGCACGCAAATGTGCACCCTCCCGGCGTCTGGGTCGGGGTACGCAAATGTGCAGCCTCCCGGCGTCTGGGCCCTGGGCACGCAAATGTGCACCCTCACGGCGTCTGGGCCGGGGCACGCAAATGTGCACCCTCCCGGCGTCTGGGTCGGGGCACGCAAATGTGCAGCCTCCGGCGTCTGGGCCTGGGGGTACGCAAATGTGCAGCCTCCTGGCGTCTGGGCCGGGGCACGCAAATGTGCAGCCTCCCGGCGTCTGGGCCGGGGCACGCAAATGTGCAGCTCCCGGGTCTGGGCCGGGGCACGCAAATGTGCAGCCTCCCGGCGTCTGGGCCGGGGCACGCAAATGTGCAGCCTCCCGGGGCCTGGGCACACAAATGTGCAGCCTGGGCACATTTGCGTGCCCAGGCCCAGACAAGAGGCCGCACATTTGCGTGCCTCGGCCCAGCGTCATGGGCCGGGGCACGCAAATGTGCAGTGCCCAGGCCCAGGGCCGGGGCGGCAACATGTGCGTGCCCAGGCCTGGGAGGCCGCAAATGTGCAGCCTCCCGGCCTGGCCCAGGGAGGCCGCAAATTTGTGCCTCGCCCCAGGGCCACAGCGTCCAGAGGCCACATTGCGTGCCCAGGCCCAGACGCCGGGCAGGCCGCACATTTGCGTGCCCAGACGCCGGGAGAGGCCGCACATTTGCGTGGGCGGCCGGGGCCGCAAATTTGTGCAGCCATTTGGCGTGGCGTGAAGAGGTTAAAGTGGAACTTCCCTTTGGGTGGAGCTCTGCTTTACCAAAGATTGGGTATTTTCCATGGGCCAGAACTGCCTGTTTTTCAAGAGTTAAGAGGCGTCCTCCCACGCAAATGTGCATCCTCCCGGCGTCTGGCCTGGGCCGCAAATGTGGCTCCCGGCGTCTGGGCCAAGACGCAAATGTGCAGTCCCAAGCGTCTGGGCCCAGGGCACGCAAATGTGCAGCCTCCCGGCGTCTGGGCCTGGGGCACGCAAATGTGCAGCCTCCCAGGCGTCTGGGCCGGGGCACGCAAATGTGCAGCCTCCCGGCGTCCTGGGCCAGGGCACGCAAATGTGCACCTCCCGCGGCGTCTGGGCCGGGGCACGCAAATGTGCAGCCTCCAGAACTGGGCCTGGGGCACGCAAATGTGCAGCCTCCCGGCGTCTGGGTCGGGGCACGCAAATGTGCAGCCTCCCGGCGTCTGGGCCTGGGCACGCAAATGTGCATCCTCCCGGCGTCTGGGCCTGGGCACGCAAATGTGCAGCCTCCCAGCGTCTGGGCCGGGCAACGCAAATGTGCATCCTCCCGGCGTCTGGGCCGGGGCACGCAAATGTGCAGCCTCCCGGCGTCTGGGCCACGGGGCACGCAAATGTGCAGCCTCCCGGCGTCTGGGCCTGGGCACGCAAATGTGCAGCCTCCCGGTGTCTGGGCCTGGGCACGCAAATGTGCAGCCTCCCGGCGCCTGGGCACGCAAATGTGCACCCTCCGGCGTCTGGCCCGGGGCACGCAAATGTGCAGCCCCCCAGGCTGGGCCCGGGGCACGCAAATGTGCACCCCCCATTAGCGTCTGGGTCGGGGCCGCACATTTGCGTGCCTCAGGCCCAGACGCGCATGCCGCACATTTGCGTCCCAGGCCCAGACGCCGGGGCACGCAAATGTGCAGGCCCTCCCGGCGTCTGGGCCGGGACGCAAATGTGCACCCTCACATTTGCGTCCCAGGGTCGGGGCCGTGGGCACCAAATGTGCAGCCTCCCGGCGTCTGGGCCTGGGCATGCAAATGTGCAGCCTCCCGACTGGGCCGGGGCACGCAAATTGCAGCCTCCCGGCGTCTGGGCCGGGGCACGCAAATGTGCAGCCTCCCGGCGTCTGGGCCTGCACGCAAATGTGCAGCCTCCCGGCGATCTGGGCCGGGGCACGCAAATGTGCAGCCTCATCCGTCGTCTGGGCCGGGGCACGCAAATGTGCAGCCTCCCGGCGTCTGGGCCGGGGCACGCAAATGTGCAGCCTCCCGCGTCTGGGCCTTGATGCCAAACGCAATGGGCCGCACACCGCACATTGCATGGGGCACGCAAATGTGCAGCCTCCCGGTGTCGTGGGCCCGGCGGCATGTGCAGGGCACACCCGGTAAATGTGCAGGCAAAGGTCCCAATCTTTGGGCCAATGGCACCTTTCCCAATGTGTGCCTCCCACATGACCTTGCGCCTGGGCCGCAAATATGCACCCTCACGGCGTCTGGGCCGGGGCACGCAAAGGTGCAGCCTCCTGGCGTCTGGGCCGGGGCACGCAAATGTGCACCCTCCATGTCTGGGTCGGGGGATACGAAATTGACAAATGTGCAGCCTCCCGGCGTCTGGGCCGGGGCACGCAAATGTGCAGCCTCCCGGCGTCTGGGCCGGGGCACGCAAATGTGCATCCTCCCGGCGTCTGGGCCTGGGCACGCAAATGTGCAGCCTCCCGGCGTCTGGGCCGGGGCACGCAAATATGCAGCCTCCCGGTGTCTGGACCGGGGAACGTAAATGTGCATCCTCCTGGCGTCTGGGCAAGGGGCACGCAAATGTGCAGCCTCCCGGCGTCTGGGCATGGGGCAC